TGTGGTGTGCCGCGATGTGACAAAGACAGCACACCACACACCAACAGATTTTCAACCAGAGTCCCTACTGTGAACACGGGAATTCTCTCGAGGCTTGAGAATAAACATGGCGGACGATAGGCAGGAAGAAATTGCGATGATAGTGTTTGGAATGATTTTGACAGATTTGGGAGAAGTCGTGGAGACGGCGGGAAGCTGATCCTCTATCTCTGCTGTCCAAATCCATTTAACTTTGTGCTGTGGCATGACTGCATTTGTTATGTTTCCGTCTTCTGTCAGCTAGCTTTCTGAGTGGATATTGTTTCGTTTCACGTGATAATCTCCAGATCGTATGATCGTTTGTCCTTGGGGTTCCCACCACACATCAGGATTTCTGATCATAAATATTCAACATGTTGAATATTTACGATTCGCGATCTGGGTGCCTCCGTTGTTCTTCTGAGCAGATTCAGTCACTCTTAACACACCTCACACCACAGGAAAATCTGATAAGATAATCTTTAGAATCACCAAGATAATCAGGACATTACCTAGGATTGTCGGAAGGGGAGAAATGGGCCCAAAATCAGCCCGATTATCTTGTGGTGTGTACCCAGCATAAGGGAAATGAATAAAACAGCTGTGCACTTCCAAAGACAATGAGGAGAGTTTGGTCGCATGCACTAGTAGGAACATGATTCTTCAAAGAGAAACAGAGGCGCTGACAAAAAGGAACAATATCAAGATCTGTTTTTCAACATTTTAGACACCATTAATTTGCATATGGAGAAGAGACTTTCCTCCCTGGAGAAATTGGCATTTCTTAGCCTGCTGGATTTTTCTAAATTTGTGGAGTATGATAAAACCTTTCCAGACACTGCATTAAAATCTTTGAAAGATGTTCTTTTGTGCAGCGAGCTGAAAGTATTATATGCATCTCCTGAACTTGCAAAGACAAACGTCTCTGAGTTGACCTTGTTCATGCGTTCCACTGGCTTTTGTAGAGGCATGACCCAACTGTACAAACTCTGTGAGTTGTTTCAAACAGTGCCATCTACTAATGCATCAATAGAAAGAACATTTTCTGCATGGAAAAGGATTAAGACTTTTCAACACAATGCTACAGGACAACAGCGCTTGAGTGGCCTTGCTCTGATGTCTATTGAGAAGCGGATGCTGCACCAGATGAAGACATCCGACAGCTCCTATGAAAAGATCAAAGACGAGTTCACAAAGAAGGATCGGAGAATTAATTTCATTTACAAATAATGTAGGAAATGTGATTTTAAATCGACACCTGCCACAGTGTTTCTTATGATTTTGATCCCTCTTTGATTGTGGTGGGATGTGGTGGGATGGGGGGTGGGGGTTTAAAAAAGTCACCGCTCACCACTGGTATATATATATATATATATATTAATATATACTTTAATTTAAAATGATTCATTTTAAAATGTTTGGTGATGTTTCACTTTCTTCATTTTCACTTCAATGCACTTTTTGACTTTTTCGTCCTACAGCGGTTTCCTATAGGTCATGGTTTACTGAAAACCAGCAGCCTACAGATGCCTTTTAGATTCATGACTGATCTGGGTACAGGTATTTAAGACCACAGCATATTGTGCAGCGTTCTTTCATCAGTTGGGTGATTCAAGAATCCAAGACAAATCTGTTGTATGATATTCAGCAGAGAGCTTTCATTTGCTCTTTGGGATCCAGATTAAATCTATATTACACATAATTATACAATATCCAGCACATGTAGAATATTAGTTCATGTTAGGTCATTATGCATCAATTAAATAATGTTAACATTT